TGCCTTAGGCACTATGCTACTGGAGTTTCCTTAAAAACAAAAACAAACAATGAAAGTTGCCCCAAGAGGACCCCACATCATGGAGCCTTCCTGTGTGTGAGTCAAACTGTCTGCACAGGGTTTCCAAGGCTGACGTTTTCAGAAACAGTTGCCAGGCCTTTCTTCTGAGGTCCCTCTGGGTGAACAAAAAACCTCCCACCTTCCTGTGAGCAGCTGAGCACGCTAACCATTGCAGCACCCAGGGCTCTCCAGGAGGCAGGGACAGCCACACATCCAGGAACCTCAGTCTGAAATTCTTTGCAATGCCTGGTCCGGGACAGCTAATTCTCTCTCTGAATGTCAAAGAAAGCCCACTGCACACCCTGCGCAGTTAAACAAACTTGGCATTACTTAAGTACTAAGAGCAGAAACCACAACTACGGCAAATACGAGAAGGAAATATAGGTAAACGTTGAGCAATTTCTGGACGGGGAAAGAAAATCTAACCGTGAAAGCAGCACAGTAAATCAGGAAAGATGGCTGGGATTGTCTGTATAACCTACAACTCCCACATCAGCAGGAGCTCTGGTGGTGTAGTGCCTAAGGCACCTGCTGCTAACCAGAAGGCTGGCGGTTCAAACCCACCAGCCACTCCTCGGAAGGAAGGTTGGGCAATCTACCAGCCTCGGAAACCCAAGGAGGGGTCGCTATGAGTTGGGGCCGACTGACCCCACGGCATGTAACAACACAACCCACATCACCAACGAGGAACAGAGTGAAAGGTAAGTCTGCGGAAATAACCCTGAAAAAGATGGCGTTTCTGCAGCAAACTGGTCGTGCTTTCTCTGCCTTGTTGACAAGCATACGATTCGCCTCTCACTGACGTTTCTCTTACAGCGCTGTGTCTGGCCTATGACGATGAGAAAAAGGATGGTGAGTTCTCTCCCCCTTTAACTCAACTGCTTTCTGCATTTCAAGTCCGGTGACCTTCCCCCCCTCACCCCTGGTTTCTTAGAAGGGTCTCTGTGGTCATCAAGATGAAGAGTCAAATGAACACTAACCAGCAGTCATCCCAAGGATCAGTTCCGCTTGTAAGAGTATTTCTTAGAAAGACGCAACCCAAAGCTGACACTAAACCCCGTGCCATCGATTCCAACTCACAGCGCCCCTAGAGGACAGTGTAGAACTACCCCGTGGGGTTTCTGACGCTGTCAATCTTCACAGAAACTGACTGC